TCTGAAATCACTTGAAACTTCCGACAAAACGGTTCAATAACCATCTCAAAATCTTCAGTTTGAAGCAAGTTATGAGTCTTTGAAGTTGGAGATGAGGTGGTGAGAGACTGCAGAGAAAACGACTGTCTGCTTTTCTGCCGTCTCTCGCTCTCTCATCTCCAACTTCAATGGCTCATAACTCGCTTCAAATCGGAGCTTTTTAGATGGTTTTTGGATCATTTTTTAGGGGAATTCAAGCGCTGTCCACCTAAATGAAAATTCGAGATTTACCCAACTTTTCAATCTACACCCAGAAATGGTGGATTCTCTGATTTTTTCTTGAAATCTAGGTTTTCTTAAAGGTCTCAAACTTTCCTACAGAGTGGTCCAAAAACCATCTAAAAATCTACGTTTTGAAGCGAGCTTTGCGCTTGAAGTTGGTGGCCTAACTTTTCACGGTCGTGGCCTAGAATTCCAAATTCGGTATCGTTTGAAAGCTGAGCTTAAAACAGGCAAAATAGTCTAAAAACCAAGTTTCTCTCTCACTTTTGAAGAGAGTTATGCGCCTTTAAAGTTGGAAGTGAGAGTGAGAGGCGGCAGAGAAAGAGACAATCGTTTTCTCTGCCGTCTCTCACTCTCTCACCTGCATCTTTAAAGGCGCATATCTCGCTTAAAAATAGAGCTTTTCAGATGATTTTTTGACAGTTTAGTAGAGCATTTGATGGGCTTTCCACTGACAAGAAAAACTCGAGGTTTACCTACATTTTCATTCTTTGCCCAAAAATCGAGATTTCCTTGATATTTTTGATTTCTAGCTCATTCGAAATCACTTGAAATTTCCTACAAAACAGTCCAAAAACCAGCTCACAAGCTTCATTGTGAGGGGAGTTTGCGCCTTTAAAGTTGGAGGTGAGAGGGTGAGAGACGCCAGAGAAAGAGACTGTCTATTTCTCTGCCGTCTCTCACTCTATCACCTCCAACTTAAAAAGGGCATAACTCGCTTAAAAATAGAGCTATTTGACTGGTATTTGGACCAATTTGTAAAGAATTCGTGGAGTTTGCGTGCCCGGCGTCAGATTTCACGACGATTCATTTTTGGTTTTTTTTTCCAGAAACACCTACCGCGAGGCCACCTATATCAACTACGACGAGAATGCAACACCATCGTCAGTAGTTAGTGACAACGTTCCTAGCATTGAGGAGAACTATGGAGCCGCTTTAAGATTCAAACTTGACAGTCCCAGTCCATGCTTAACTCCTTCACCGGTAAGTCCGCATAACAGTTTGTTCAAAGCAGTATATCTCAGTTGTCTTTACCGCTATCAAAAAGTTGTCAACTGACGAAATGCTCAAAATTTTATGTTTAACATTTTGTCAGTTGACTACTTTTTGATAGCTCTAAAGGCAAGTGAGATATGCCTTTTTTAACATGCAGTACTACCGCTAAGCCGGTAAAACTAGTACTGTATGTTCAAAGCAGCATATCTTGATCGGTTTTAGCGCTATCAAAAAGTTTTTAACTGATGAAATGTTTAAAATTTAATGGTAAAGTTTTTGTTAGTTGACAACTTTTTAATAGCACCAAAGACAAGGGAGATATACTGCCTAGAACATACAATACTACCTTAAAACATGCAATCAAGGTACACCTTGTGCTGAGAGCGGTATATCTCAGTTGTCTTCAGAGCTATCAAAAAGTGGTCAACTAATAAAATATTAAGCATAAAATTTTAAACATTTCATCAGTTGACAACTTTTTTCTATCTCTAAAGACAACTAAGCTATACCTCTTCAAACTTCAGGCCTCTCTCATCATCACCGACTGTAATGGAGTGGTCAGTGCCAAATACGACTCTAAGCAAGTCTCCAGCTTCATTGACCCCACTAGCGACACCATAGGCTACTTCCAATTCATCCCCTTCTTCTGCTCCTCCCAACCCTCCACCACCTGTATCACCGGAGCCGAGAGCAAGTACGATGCTCAACTCGTCACCGACTCCTTCTCCATCACCCAATCCTTCCAGTGCCGTCCTGGCACCGGACCATCGGACAATTGTAAACTTCAGGATGCAAATGGAAATAACCAGTGTTCCGGAGTGTCCCCGTTCCATAGAGGACCCTCTGGAACTGTCTATGATTGCTCGAATCATGGAATCTTGGAGTATAAAAATGACACGCAGAAGTTCCGGTGTGCATGTGAAAGTGATGCATTCACTGGAGACTCGTGTGAAGTTGTTAGCTGCTCAGATCCAAATTTGGATCCCTTGGCAAAGGATAACGCGTATCACACGTATACTATAGTGCTCGGTTTGGAAGCTGGAACTGGTTTCTTGACAATTGATGATGCAAATGAGTTATTCGGTCTACAAAGTCTGACATTTGACAAACTCTCGGAAGTCTGGAAGTATCAACTTTTGACAATTTGTGCCGATGGAGTTTGTGAGTTTGGCGGGGGGGGGGGAGAGGGGCTGGCTAGAACTTCTTGGTACTCACACTTTTTTCCAGAGAGGCACACTGACCCCGATAGACACCCCCGAAAATTTGAAATTGCTGGCAATTCTAACCCAGTTATCGTCTCACACGGGAAATTCGGTGACATACTTGGATGACAGTTGTTGACCGTTGTTCATCCTCTTAGGATTTCGCCTAGTCGCTAATCAGGGTTTGGG